GGGGGGGGGGGGGGGGGGGCTGAGAGAAAATAGGAAGATGCTTCTTTGCGGGTGGGCGTCAGGGCGGGGCGAGTGTTGTAGATGCAAGGAAGGGAGAGAAACGAGGCGATAGCGCGGGTGTGGCGCGGAGGGGGGGGGTCGGTTTGTCCTTAGAGGTAGGTGTGCATGCATTTCTCTAACACGCGTCGACCGCGCTACGCCGGCTGAGCAATGGGAGCATGACTATCTATATTGTAGACATGCTTTCTAGGTAGCCCGCGGGTTCCCCTGACAGGGGCACAGCGGAGTAGGTTATACTAGAGTGTGCGTGGGTACTGTGTACCACCACGTTAGCGCGCGGGGGGGGGGGGCTGTTCAGGAAAGAAAGGAACTAAGGAAGGCACTACAGGCCCCTCGGGGCGGAACGTGATACCCGTCCACGCCGATGCAAATGCTTCACGCATCATGATCATCACCATCACATCACAACAAGCGAACAGCACCACCGGCAGCCCGCCACAAGCGGTTCTTGTCTCTGTCTTCCCCACCTCTCGAGGGCGGGTGATGGCCGGATGCTCCGGCATGGAGAGCCAAATCTCCGTCCCCATGGCCACGATCTTCGCCGTCGTGCGCGCGGTGTCGAAGCGGCGTAAGGCAAAGGCCTGCCCGTTGTGGTGCTGGATGACCTGCGAAAGCGACGAGGACACCAAGGCAACAGACAGACAAGCGGTTCACCACCACCCACAGACACACGAACAAAAACAACAACAAGAAACAGAGAGCCAAGCAGCCGTACTCTCTTGGAGCGCATCGGCGAAAGGTGACGCCATCAGGCCGGCCGAGCCAATCACCCACGGTTGCAAGAGAAGCTGAGCAAGCGGCATCCTGCATGCACAACGCAGGCTGGCCGGAAGACCAAGACGCAAGGTGTCAGGAGCTCGTGCGGTGTTGTAGAAGCTTCGCAGGTGCTTGCTCGTCAACAGGCGTGGGCGTGACACTGCTGCGTTGTGCTGTGCTGTGCTGTTTGAGGTGTGCGCTGTTTTAATCCTCCTCAACAGAAAGGCAGACGTTTCGCCGAAAACCACGACGCCGACCGGTCATTCAGACAACGGGATCTTTTCTGCAAATGTCCCCAACACAGGTGCTTGCCACGGACGGGCAGGGTAACCACGTGCACCTACGAACGGAACGGAACCGCTTGCCTGGCGCCAAGTCGCGCGTTCGCCTTGTGCTTCCGAGGGACACCGAATATCAAAAACACCCTATTTTGTCGCTGCATCTCCTCGTGAGTTGGTTGCCCTTGCACACGCGCGTAGTAGATAGACGAAACGGGACAACATCACACCCAAAGCTCGAGGAGAGGTTTCGTTCGTTCACACCTTGTAAGTCTCGCTGGGGTAGCCGAAAGACCCGGCGGTGCCTCGAGTCTTGGAGGCGTCGTCCAACGGGAAGGCGGCGTAGAACTGCGGCGGGATCTCCTTGAGCCGCTCGTCGTCGGGGGGAAGCTGTCGGAGGACGCTGAGGGAGTGGTTCTGGAACTCTGCCCACAGCTGCTCCGGGACGGCCGTGCTGCGAAGTTGGAACACGGCGCGGGGTGCTAGAGGCGTCAGTAGGGCGACACGATGAAAGGTTATCCTTGGCAATTTGCTCCAAGAGAAAATACGTGCAGTTGGGAAGCAACCAGAGAGGGAGAGAGGGAGAGAGGCCACTCCTTCTCTCTACCGAAGTGAATCCTACCCCGACAGAGAGAGAGGAGAGAGAGCAAGGTGAGATAGTAGCTTCGACAGTCTCCCCACCCAATCCTGAACATACATAATGGCGGATCGGTACTCGGTCATAATGCAGAAGCATGAGTTGACCTCTGAGGGCTCTTCTACTACTGTTGGCCATCCGCCGGCCCGTGTCGCTTCCCCCTCTCGGACACACCAACTAATCATGAACCACCACGCACGCACAACGGACGGTCTTCAACGCCCCCGGAGCAAGCGAGAGATCAGCCTACGGCAGCCATGGTGTCCTCAAGGCTGATGTGCGAATACCTGTGCATGGTGCGTCTCTGCGGCGCGGCGAGCGCCGCCGACCCTTCGGCCCACAGGAACCCTTCCTCCTGCGGGCCGTACGCTTCCGGCCCGACGAGCTCGTCCGTCGCCAGCGCCTCGCTCTCCGGCACGAAGTAGATGGTGCCTCCGCGCACCACCTGGACCATCTTTTCCGGCCCCGTCCCCCCCGTCGCCACCGCCGCCGCTGCTGCCGGACCAGCAGCATCTCCGCTGCTGGTACCGCCGCCGCCGCCTCCGGGTACGAACTCTTGGGCGAATGCGGTGAGGTCGGAGGAGTCCGCGGCCTTCGCCTCTGCGCCGGACCGCCCGCCCTTCTTGCTGGCCTTGCTGGGCGGTGCTCTTCCCCCTCCTGATGCTGCCGCTGCCGCCGCCGCCGCGGCTCCGCCCGGCACGAACTCCGCGGCGTGCGCCTTGAGACCCAAGTTGTGTTCTGGGCTCGACGGCATCTGAGACAAGTCTGTTCCACGGCCGCCGCCGCTGCTGCCGGTGGCACGGCCGGGGTTGTCTGCGAGCGGTGGCGGCCTGCCGGCGGCAGTGGTGCGTCCTCCTCCTCCCCCTCCCCCTCCTCCTCCTCCTCCCCGGCTGCTGCTGCTGCTACCCCCCCCCTCCGAGCGCGAGGGGACGATCCCGCGAATGTCTGGCGGAGGGTGTTGCTGCTGCTGTTGCTGGTGTTGATGTAGTTGATGCTGGTGCTGCCCGAAGCCGCTGCCGCTGCCGCCGCCGCCGCTGCCGGCAGCGCGTCTTGCCTCGTCGACGGCCTGCTTTTGCATGTGCGGGGAAGAGTGGTGTCTCGTTGCTGCCAGCAATGGCGAGCGGTCAGGGAGGTATTCACCCCCGCCGCCATTGCGGCCACCCCCACCACCCTTGCCGCCTCCGCCGTGTTGAGACATGTTCAATTTTGTCTTGGTCTTACTGAGAGTAGAGGTCGCGTTCTGGTGCGTGCAGGCTGCGGCTGTCCTTGGCAGCAAGGTGTCGTTCGAGCAGGTTTTGGGGTCCAGGCGTGGAAGGACAAGGTGCCAGACGTGCGTGCTTTGAAATTGTGCGTCTCCTTTGTCTTTCGCTTGACCCCCAGCGAAGGCTGCAGCTTGGCCTGCTGGTCTGTGTGCACACTCCAGGTTATTGACGAAGGGGATACGCGAGTTGCATTTATGCATGCTGCCTTTGGGGGGGGGGGGCACCGTGAGCTCACCGGATGCCCTCGTGCCGTGTTGGTAGCTCAGAAGCTGGTCTCGCGGTGGCAGTCAAGGCTCTCGCGCGTCATGTTCCGGGAGGTGAGAGAAGCAACGAATCCATTGGCCACCCTCTGATGGTCCGTAGAACGTGGGACTACACTATGAAATATCTCGATGTGTGTTGCCGTTGCCATTGTTCTCGACCCGTCCTACTTGCCAACTGCCAACACTCTCTCGCGCGACATGATTCCTGATAGTAGTGTGGGTACAGCGATACTGCTGTATGGGAAGACGCTTGTCGTCCTTCTAGCTAATTTTGCAATGAAATTTCCCCCTCGACGTCCGACAAACTGCGAAACCGATCGGCAGTGGGTGGATCATGACGCTTTCCTTGTCCTCTGAATCATCGTTTCATCGAAGGCAACCTAACCTTCATTGTTAACAGCAGTTCCTGGTGTAGGTGTTGCACCCTCCGCTCGTGGACTGCTTAGACTATCGATTGTGGTGATATTGGGTGCCTTGTGCCGCAAAATGGCGGACCTGTAGACGACGCCCTCATGCAGACGCATGTCTCTTGTGGGTATCCGAGCACTGCAGACTGCACAAAAGGGTGACTGCGCTTCTCGATTCAGGGCTGTACGGCGCGGCAACTTTGTGCCACCCCGAATGGCTCACACCGTGCACTTGCGCCTCTAAATAAATGCCGACATGGTTACTCAGCAAGAATGCATAGACAACAGCCTTATTGCTATTATCAAAATGCCCTTGTTCCGGTGTGTGTTTGCGTTTCCATTTCTAATGGTGTGTGTTCTTCCACCACCTTCTTTGAAGTATTCCTCCGCACATGTATGAATACTGTAGCGGGTCAACTTTGAAAACTCAAAATAAGAGAGTAAGCCCAGTTTCCAGCTGGTTTATCTTCACTCACTGGAAAGACTTCAGCACATCCCGTTCGACAATGGTTAGACTATATCTCGAGCGGGTAGTCTTTCTGTGAGATTATGTTGACACTCCTAAAATAGCGTTTCCCCACGGGCCTTTCGTGTCTACCTGCTTGGACGTTTGCATACGCATACAGACCACCGCCAACAGAGCCTCGCTGCAGCGATCTGGAGGCGGAGCGGGGGCAATGGTGAAGGGGATCGATGAGAGGTTGATGCACACCGTCCCTCTCTCGAAGCAGGACACCAAGGGCAACTCGTTCCTCCGCCTTTGTAACTTGCTAAGCTGGTCCACCATTCTTGCAGGTACTCGTGGATGTCCGCGGGTGCGTTGCGTTATGACGGGCCGCAGAGCCTTGGACGGGGGGGGGTCAGGGATAGTAGGGGAAGACGTGAACAATACGCCTCGGTATTTGCGTACATCGAAAGGCGATCGTTTGCGGTTCGTGTGTTTCCGCATAGATATCTCCAGGTATTGGAAGATGTTCTGCAAGGTTATTCATCCTTGAGTTCCTTTTGAACGGCTTCGATGTACATGGTGCTTGCCGCAGTGGGTAGCGTTGTTGGTGTTTGAAGGGGTCCCGGCTGCCGGCTCTGTTGCGCCGCAAGCCGAGAGGGCACCACCGCCGAAGATGGTGTTTTTTGGGAATGATATCGTCGAGAGCTTTGGTTAGGCCTATATCTACCGGTTTTTCGACCTACAAAGAGTCGGTCCATCGTAGGAGGGGTGCGATCACGTGCTCATCCTGCTGTGGTACCCCACATGTTGATCACAGCGTTTGGAGCGTCGAAGCCTTCCCAGTCCAGCCCACCTCTTTACCTGCGGATCGTTTGTGTCTAGGGGGTGGCGTGGACGACTTCTGAAACCTCTTGCGTGATGAGAAAGTTTTTAGTTTTTTTCATGTATCAACATGTGGTCGCTTGTGGCCAGTGGGAAAATTTCAGATTCAACGTCGCGGCAAACAGGTGTTGGTTTAGGCCTGTCCTCCATCGGCCGTTTTATTTTCGATTTAGATACACAAACTTTATTTCTATACTAATTTCAAGTAATTCCACCTTCTTATTCTCCGTCATACAAGCAAAACGGCCGATGGAGGACAGGCCTATTGTTGGTTCAATATTTTGTTTTGGTGGCACGTAGAAAACTGGTTGGGCGTTGAGGACGAAACACGCGTCTCCCGAACAAATCCGTGTCAGTCAGGCGGGGTTAGACGTGAGAGTCGGTTATCCCTTCTTTGTCTCCAACCTCCCCCTTTCTCCACCTCGGCCTCCTTTCTATTTTCAGCGCATTGCTGCGTGCGAGGTACCCAGAACTTGTAAACTGCTATGCATACCAAGTAATTTTCTCTGCGCTATGATCGATTTGTCCCTCCGTGCCTGACACGGTTCATTGCTCCTTCGTATGCGGTGCGTGTATTTTTTTCTGTCTGTGTGCCTCTCGTGTGTGTTTTCGGGGCATAGCAACCTTTGCTGTGGTTCTGGACGTGATACTGCTGCTGGTTGCCGGCATCGAGGTGAGCGATAAGTAAACACGAAGAGAGAGAGACGACAACGAATAAAAAAAAAAAGGCGTATCGTGTAGCCCGGGGTCCGGAGTCTGCCCGCCATTGGGGGCGTCCTCGTCTTAAGGGCGTGCGTCCGAAGGCGTTTGCTCTCTTGGTGGCCAGGGAGACGCTACAGAAGCTGGCCTGTGGGCTGGGCGCCGAAGACGTGTGCTAGCGAAGCGTTTCCCCTCCCCCTCTCCCTCTCTCTTGAGTCCGTTTCAAAATGTTCGGTGGGAGCCAACAGGGACTTGCATGCTTCGTGTGTGTGTGTGGCGAAAAGACCTATGTATCCTTTGTGATGGTACCATGTTGTATGTGACGCTCTACATATGTACACAGTGGGACGCAGGATGTATGAGATGGAAAGGAATATGCATACGACAAAAGAAGAAAGCGTAGCAATGTTCTGCTCGGGAGTGAACCTAGGCAGACCTCCGGAAATGTACCATAGTATCATAGGGTGCGGCACTGGCCCTAAATAGTAAGGTTAGTTAGTTCCTTTAAGACGAGGTGGCTCTAATGTGCTGTCATTCATGCTAAAACGTGTGTCAGAATATACTGTCATATTACACTTGAAGCACCCATGTGCCCTGTTCGACTATCTAGCTTGGATGTCGATGGCCTCAACTTGTTCACGTACATGGAGAGACACGGTCGCATGCACGCAGGCATAAGGCACTTTTTGCGTGTGTAAGGTATGCACGTACACTTAACCACCCATCCGCACAGGAAATCGAGATATTTGACTACGGCTGTGGTAGCTCGCCCTGACACCTAAAATACTGCTGTCTTTTTCACGTAGTCCCTCTCTCATGTATTTCTTCCTCAGTCCACATCATGCGCTTGCCAGTTAAACGCCACCGGTTCTGTTGTCCTTTTTTTTGTTTTTTTTTCCGCGGCGCGCCGGTGGACAGTCAAAAATAACGATGGTAGGATACGTTTGACGCCTACTTCAAAGGCGTTTTGTTTCTGTTGATTTACAGGGCGCAGAGGCCACCTTGCACTGCTTTGGGATCCTGATGGCTCTGTCGATAATTCTGGCGGAACGGGAGGTGGTGTTGCTGCTGAGATACTGTGCCTTCCTGGAGTCTTGGATACTCAAGGGATTCTTCATTTCTTTGTGAGCACAACTGTAGTACGTCTTGTTCTCCCCGTTGGTTGTTGGTCCTGCTGTGGGTTGCAGATTACGCGACGTTCATGGGTGTACGAAACGATGTATAGCAGCCTCGTCGTGTGTGCATGTGTACTTCTTGTTAGCATCGACCGCGCTAACCGGCCGACCAATGAAGAGACGTCAGTCTCAGTGCGGTTGTGTGTGTGCGCGTAGCCACCAGTTACGGAATGCAGCAGTCACTTTTCTTGCGAACAGTTGTGTTTTTGACGCGCTAAAGTTGTTTTTCTTCTTTGTCAAGTTCAACTACTGCTGTGGTGGTCAAGAACAGTTCGCGAGTTGCCGTTGATTTTCGCGTGGCGACGCTGACACAGCAGATAACATGAGCATGTATGATGTGGTATTCGTCAGCGATCGCCCCCCACCCCATCCCCGTCCTCCTCTAACCCCGACACCGGTTTGTTGCGTACCGTGGGTCAGCGTGGGTACGTTGCTCATGGCGTTCGAGCACGGCGGAATTCTGCTGGACTTGTGGAGAAGGATAGGGGGTTTCATCCTCATCGCTACGGGAGTGCTGTACGTGATGTTGGTGAGTTTGGGCTCCGCAATCTCGCCAGTTTGTTGGGGGCGGCAGCCGGGATTCTGGCGTCGACGTTGTCTGTTTCGGTTGGTGACACTCTGTACGGGCCCCTTTTTTAGTGATCTTCATTGAACTTTTTTCCGGCGGGTCTGCGTGAGGATGTTCATGCCCCGCTCAGCTGTTTTGTTGTTTTTCCTTTCTCCAAGTCTCGTTGCATCGTCGTACACGGAGGTATACACGAGCAGGGGATACTAAACGTTTAATACAAGAGAAAGAAGTGTGTGCAAAGGAAGCAACCCTTTCCGCGCGCAGAAGACGAAGCGAACTGTTCAGGCGGAAGAAGGTTGATCGGTGGGTGGGCCAATAGCGAGAAAGAAACCTAGACCTTGAGTGGGAATCGAAAATGTTGCAAGGAGTTTTTGTTTGTTTGCCTCTTTTGGTGATGATCTCTGGTTGCTGTATTTGTCATTGATTCCTGTGTTTGTCGTTTGTTTCACCGAGCTCCCCCCGGTTGACCACCGAAGGACGCTGCTGTGTGATTGTGCAGGGTGCGCTCTGCTTCCGCCAGCTGCGGAGCTACCAGCTGGGAAAAATCAGACGAAAAAAGGTGGGTGCAAAGCTCGCCCCCCCCCCCCCCCCCCCCCCCCCCCCCCCCCCCCCCCCCCCCCCCCCCCCCCCCCCCCCCCCCCCCCCCCCCCCCCCCCCCCCCCCCCCCCCCCCNGGTGCAAAGCTCGCCCCCGCCCGCCCCCCCCTGCTTCATGCTTCTAGTTATTTGTGCCTTTCTTTCTTCCGCAATCGGCGGAAATCGTGTTGATGTCGTTGGTGTCGTTGTTGTTGTTTCTGTTGTGGCCTTCGGTCGTGTTGTGTCGCCTCGACCGTTTCGAGTTCGAGTTTCGTGGTGGATGTATCTACCCTCTAAGAGCAGTATGCCTCTCTCTGCTTCGACGGGCGTGGTAGGCCAGGTTTGCCGCAAAGAGTAGCGGTCCCTGCCATCGGCCGCCTAGTGCCAAGGGGTTTTGCCGGCCTCACACCGGGAGCCAGGCGCTGTTCGCGATTATTATTGCCGACCGCTTTTTATCAGGGGTACTGCTGTACCGGCCTTATTTTATGCAGCCTCATATTACAGAGGCCACCACAAATTATGTGCCGCTTACTTCGTAAAATGCATGAAAACCCAACCGGCGTGCTTGCATCTGAGATGGCAACAGAAATCCATCGGCCTCGTCGTAATGATGAGGCAGTAGCCTGTGTTCCAACATGGAATCGTGGTACCTATCGTTTATAATAAAACGATTAGTGTGCGGGACGCGTTGGCTTGATACAGTACTCGCACGATTGTTGAGCCTCTCCCCGCGGGTCTTGCCAGCTGGTCGTGAGGTATCTGCCTGTGTCAAGGCAACCGGCGCTCTTACGTGTTTGCGCATATTGATTGGAAAGGGCACGGGTTTGTCATGTTTTCGGAACGCGAGCTATGACATCATTAGGATGAACGTGATCTTGGATATTGTTTCGGCTGACGTTACGTTGACTCCAAAACGTATTTGTTTCAGTTTGGTGTTTGTTTTCATTGTGCTTATGTGTTTGCCGTTGCATATCAACCACCCAGTTGCTGTTCGTTCTCCGTGTGTTTAACAATTACTTCTGTGCGCGCCTGGCCGTCTTGACGCTCCCGAGTATGCGCATCCCAATCACCCTCCCGCTCGATGCACGCGCAGATGATGAGACAGGAGCTCTTATCTCTGAGCACGCAGAAGACACAGATCGAGAAGCTCTTGGCCGACACAGAGTCGAAGCTGGAGCTCTTGTGAAGCCGACCGCTCGTAGGAGGGGCCGGCCGGCTCTCCTCGCCCCCCCCCGAAACCATTCGGACAGCATCTTGAGTCCAAAAAGGAGATCGAGAAAAGAGACAAGTGATACAATACATTGCATGGAGGACACAAAACCCCTGCTGTCCACCCCTACGGTAGTGCTGTGGTATCAACACCCACAGACGCTCCCTGCCCCCAGTAATGAGTGGTTTCGGACGGTTGTCTACCGTTTTTTGGTGTTGTGAAGGGGTAGGAATGTGACTAGCAGGGGCTGGAGAACGGGAAAGAGATCTAGAGGGCCAGGAGAGAGGAAGAAATACCATGTGATTTCATACTTTGGTGGAGTATTTTCACTGGCCCTCTCCCTGCACTAGAGAAGTATCATAGCAGAATCGCTCATGCCAGGGGGTGGGTGGGATTACCTCTGGGAATGTTGGGCGGGTGCGCGCGGTGGTGGCAGTGGTTTCAACGAAGGTTTCAATCATGTCGCGTTGCGTGCTTGTTTTGGTGCGGCGAGGTTACGTGTGTGGTGCTGGGAAAGGACGCCTGCTGTGTGTCTACCGTTTTTGCTTTTGAGGCTTTTCCGACACGACCGAAGGTGTTACAACTCTCGCCGTAGTCGCTGCCGCTCGCGCGCGCCCAGCCTCAAGTAGCACTCGCTCTCTCTGCCTTCCGTAGTTGTTGGTTCGTCTTACGAAATGATGGCAGTTCGAATGACTCGAAACCGTAAGGTAAGCGTCGGGGGGGGGGGGGGAAGAAGGAGATGAGCGAGTCCCCGTGTTGTTTTTTGTCCGTCTTGTGTCGTATTTGTCGTGCTGTAAGGGCTGCTGTACGCTCGATCTACATACATTCCAGTGTTGTTAAATTCTCCCAAGTACGTGGATTGTTTTTCCTCGGGTAGCCATACGCAAGGGAGTGCAGCATGTACGCCACGAAGTGTGGAGGGAGCGGGGTCAGTGTCGTGTGCCCTTAGGCGGTGGTTTTTAACGTATGCCCGATGTTTGCGTGTGGTTTTGGTGGTGGTTCTGTCGATTCTTGTGACGTAAGGTCTTTGTATTATAGTATATTTTCTTTATTTCTGTCTCCAATGTCGCTCTTCATGGGGGGTAAAAGAAAACGACATCGTTGTCATCCTTTTCACTGCCTACACCTGTGGTTAGAGATATGCCGGCGCTGCCTCTTGGCAAGTACCACAGCAGCAGCAGTCTCAGCAGCAGATGCAACGATCGCATGCTTCCAAACAAGGAGTGCTCAGCAGAGGCTTGAAAAGAACGTTGCCTCCCGGATCCGCATGGAAAGGAGGCACGACGAGGGAGAAACTCGAGAGCAGCAGCGAAATAGTTCAGGCCTTCTCGCGAAAACTGGGCATATATCTACGTGCAAGGTACGTGTCGCTGCGAGCCGCATTGGGCGCGCTGATCAGCTACACAAACAGCCTCCATGACACGACCACTTAAGCAAGTGAAAACTGCTCCTGGCTTGTGCGAAAAAAACAGAAGGGCAATTATACCCGCGTCGTCAGGTGGACAGGTTCATCGTAGACGACGACGTCGACGATAACACGATGTCTGGTGCCTCCCACCACAAGGTGAGACTGCTACCTGCTAACGGATATTGGCGCTGGACCTCCGTAAAATGTTGTGTTGGTGTTGGACCCACGCTTCAGATGAGACATACATGCGTTCCCTGGAGGCTGGGGGTCGACAAGGTGGTGCCCTTTCTTGTGGGCGTCTATCGTTACACCTGTCACGGGAAAAGGCGTCGTCGTACGTAGTTTCATGCGCGTACAACACCAGACGAAGTACTGCCACGACGTACGTACGTATCACACATTGTTCATTGAGCCGGACTTTTCCCCAGCCCGCGAGTTTGAGAGCGGGTACTACATGCTTTTTTTACAACGACTCGCCGAACACTCACATACAAGAGAGAGATCTCGTAATGAGACACGGGGGAAGGAAGGCGCCGCACGGGCCAAATCAAACCGCGCATCTCTTGCGGTCCGAGTGGCCGGAGAGGCACCCTTGACACTTGAAGAAAAGCGGCGGGGTATCTCGTCTTAAAAACATATGCTACACCATCCAATATTGATATAGGTATCACACAACCCAAGCACTGCAAAAATTAACAAGGACGTAGTAGGAGGAAGGGCTACAAAAAGGAATTCAAGTCAACAAGGGAAGTAGGATGTCTGTCGGTTGCTGAGTTGGTGGAAATACAACCACCAGCGATACCGTAGTGGACAGGTAAAGCATTGCAACGTACGACGAGCACAACACAATCGTCTCTCGATCGAGTCCAGCTCTGCCGCGAAGGAAACGTCTTCGGACGAGGACTTGGTCGATGAACGCCCGCAACCTCCCGCGCCCAACGTACGCTATGCACGTACTCCCTCGCCCCCGCCTCCGCGCCCCACAGACCCAGCATACGGAAAACGTGGGGGACCCATCGACCTCGTCATCTACCGATCGGCTCTCCAACCGGCATCGGCATCATTGTCATGGTTACGGCTATCTCAGAGGTACGCTACAACGGATTCTTGTCATATGGTTCGGTGTCGTAATAACATGGCTTGAAGGCAGAGTTCACGTACTCCGCTGCCTGTTGTCGTCGTCGTCGTCGGATGTGAGACGAAAGCCAATCGAAGCAGGAACATAACGCACGAGGAGGCAAGTAGAGGGAGGAAGAGAGGGACCATTAGCGGTGTCCACACGGACATACAAGAGGCGGGAGCTTCACGGAATGCCGCCACCAGTTGGCGCTATTGCCCACAGCATCTAACAAGAACGTGAAGGTGCTATTCACTGCTGCTGTCGATTACAACCACCTGTTTGAGACGGCAGCTCCTTATGATCCCCTTCCCCCGCTTCCCACTTCCAACGCGAGCTTCGCTTCACCGACTGACTCACCTTATCCGAGCACCCGGGCGTTGCCTTCACTGACAACTCCGCTCTCCGCTTGACGCACTCTTTCTGCTGCCCCCCCCACTTGAGGTGGCCCCGTCGTACCTCCATGTCGAAGGAACACTCCCCGCTGGTGTTGGAAGCACGAATCTGTTGGGATAGGGGAGGGTTGTCGACTTTTAGGTCAATTTCGAGTTTTGGCGGTGTGTGTATGATTGATACCGTACGCGGAATGCATGTTTTACACTTTTGACGAAAGTGAGTGTGCGCTCTACACGGTCGGGTTTTCGAGAAAAGTCGAGTTTCGGTCAACGTGTACCGGCCCCGGAGACGCAGGTCCAAGCAGGAGACCAACGTACCGGACAAGAAACGGGCGCATCAGGGGGATTACTGCTCGCTCCATATGCGCTGTTGATGTATGGACAACTTAAGGCAGCCAGTTTGGCCACTTTGGTCATGGGGAGGAAGCTAAAGGAGAATCAGTACCTCTGGCTGGTGCACATCTCGCTCACCCACCCCTGAACGCGGAAGGTCTCTGGCTGTTGCTTCGATGAGAATGGCACACACAGGGACAGGCATTTTACTCACCCGGATCACTCGGATTTGTACGCTCGACCATTGCATCGTGATACGGTCAGAAATATACAGGCCAGCATACTGCAGGGAGAATCACGCCCCATTTTCAACATGTCTCAGAAACGTGTCGACTACGTGTAACAGGGCGGCGTAGGGAACAATTGCCTTGTTGAGTAGATTTCTGAAAAGCTACGATATGTACATCCGTTTGTGCAAGAATGGTGTACGAACTCGTGCTGGGAGGAGAGGGCGGGTGTGTGTGTGTGTGTGTGTGACATGTGGCGTCACGTGCTGCACTATGTACCTCGGTGCACGCCACGTGCAAGCAGTTGGTGCGGTCCAACTTCACCCGGCACTGGTCGTACGCGTGGATGAGCTCGTGAGCCATGGTGTGGTCCATCATCGTCTGATTCACCCCCTTGTCACTGCACAGCACCACCTTCGCGGTGTCATCGTGGCCGTCGTGGTCGTCGTTGTCGTCGTGATGTTGCAGGTGAAGGTTGTCGATCGAGTGCAACCCAGGCCGGCAGGCAGACGTGACGGAGCGTTCAAGGCAGGGAAGGAGCAACAAGACGAAATTCAGACACAGAATACGGAAGGTAAACGACGCAGAGAGACCGAGAAAAATGAAACATAAACGGATTTGTTCACACTCTAGCGAGAAAGAGAGAGAGAGAGAGAGAGAGAGAGAGATGGAACATGTTACCCGTACGAAAACCCACAAGTGCAAAACAAGTCTGCGGGCTTGGCTCGTTGAGTTGCGCGAGAGAAGGCAAGGGCATGTGGGATGCGTCTTGCGACCGCCATGAACGTGATGGCACAAAACACACAAATAAAATGGGAGGGCGTATTGTGCAGACAACGAACCCAAGCAGCAGGGCAGGGCGGGATAAAGGCAGAGAGCCTACAAGCCGCACCAAGAATCATGACAAGAAGACGTCAAGCCACCGCACCAACAAATGCTCGGCCCCAACGCGTCGTTCGTTCTCATGAGCACGACCGACGACAAAGCAGGCGAACCGCATCCGACGAACTCCGCTTCCTCCGTTAACCACGGACCAACCGACTTGAAACAAGCGGCATGGAAATCCGTGCCCGCCGTTTTGTCGATCGCACGTGTGTGTGTGTGTGTGTGTGTGCTTTTATTATTAGCATCGACCGCGCTAACCGGCTGACCAATGAAAAGACGTCAGTCTTAGTGCGGTTGAAAACACAAAGCACTTCTATCTACCATGAACTGGGACCCCGTGAGGGGGCAGCATGGGGGAAGCTAAGCTCTCCTTTGGATCAAAAACAGAAACAGCAGCAACAGAAGAACACTGCACCCGTCTACCAAGGCTATTACCTAGTACTCGAGTTCGTTTAGGAGTACTTTCACCAGTGTCCTCCTTGTTTTCGCTACCATCATTCTGATCCTCATTTCGACAAGAAGAATCTCTGGGCAGTTCTTCCCTAGCCCTACGTTTCTTGTTGTGGGGAAGGTCATCTGGCTCAAACCCTTTGCTCTTCCACTCCTCCATGTTTTCCTGCTCCATCGTCGTCTTCGTCCTCCTTTCTTCCCTTTCCCTTTCCTTCGTCTTCGTCACTCCCAAAAGAATTACCCTCACTACTATCGTTGTCGCAGAGATCCCAACCGATTGGCCCTGGTGGAAGTTGGTCGATCAATAGCCCATGACGTTTGAACACATCGCGAGGTCGCATCGACAGAAAACGAGCTAGCTCGAAGGTAAACCGTCTCCGAATCCTGTTAGTATGAAACGCTTTCAGGCGAACTAAGGCTCTTTCGTCTTCAAAATTCCCCCGGCAAAAAGCTTCGTGCGCCAAGTGGTTGGCGATAGCAACGATGAGTCGATTGGTGCCTTTGTGTGTGCGTGTGTGTGTGTGTGTGTTTTCGTCCTTTTTACTGTGGCGAGACAGTCCCCCAATTTTTCGTGGTGAGACGTGTATTACACTTTTCAGTGCATGTAGAGTACAACACTTTTCAACGATTTTTTTCGTACAGCTACAACCATCCAGGGTCACACAGGAGGGAGTAAACATCGGGGATTTTTCGGCCGATAAATAAACAAGGCCGCACACAAGGTGTTCACACCTCCGCGCGCGAGGGTTTTCCGTCGGCGCCCTTGGTGGGCGGGATGAAACCGCCGGAGATGTCCATCCCCTCGCACGGCCGACACGTGAACATCCCCGTCGGCATCTCGCACCCCAGCTTTTCCAGCTTTTCTCGTATGAACTTCACCTTGGGACCTGTCAATGTTTTAAAAGCGGTGCGAAGTTCTTGTTTAGCCCTGAGCGTTGTTGTAACCTGCAGCTGACCATGGGAGGACGTCTGTCTCCGAGCAAATTTAGCGCTGTCTACAACCGCCATAGTCCGCGGGGTGTCCCGACTCGTTTCGGACCGTGTTGAACTGGCAGACCAATGAATTTAAACATCAACGTTGGTAGCATAAAATTTAAACATTAACGTTGGTAGCATCAAGAACAACACAACGAAAACTTGCATTCTGGTCCGTGGTCTTCCTTGACACAAGGGCCGGGTGGGAGATTGGACGACAAAGCTCTACTGGCCGTGCGAGTTTGCGCTTTTCGAGCACAGAGCACCGCGCGCCCGGTATACGCAAGAGCTGAGCCGCGATTTGCGATCTACGAGCACTTCTTGTGCTGATCTTTTCAGTGCTTGCACATCTCCCGCTACTCAACATCTTCGTCGGCTGCAGCGGCAGAGCATTGCAAGACGACTGCCGGTGCAACGTATTGGACAAACGTCCAGTGTGTCTTGTCAATCGTGTGTGATAGTGGTGCGACCTGTGCAACATTTGTGCCTTGATTAAGAAAAGACCAACTATTAAAGTTATCATTGTTTGCTATTTAGTGTCGGACACGCTAGTCACTGCTGTAGAAACAACCTATGCTACTCCAACTATAATACTCCGTATTACTGCTGGCTGTCCTGCTATTGGCACGCTTCCTACTTCGCCAGTCGATCTTGAAACCTGTTGATGCGGTCGACGCGGCTGTTGGAACCTCCGAACCTCTCACTACCGTCTGCTGTGAGAGATAAAACCTGGTATGAATCATCTCCCAACCAACATCCCAGCAATGCAAGGCTATCTACGTTCCTGTAAAGCAACCTTCCAGCACAGCCTAACTACGAGAAGTAGACACTTCACACTGGATGGAGCTTCGAAGAACAAGCGGTGGTTCGAAATATCTGTGGTCCCGTTGCTCACTCACATCTCTGTAAACTGTACTGCACCATCTCCTCACAACGGCTCAGCTGCTTTTCGGCTTCACCCGCATTACTGACTGCAGCATTTCCAGGGCCGCCATCTGGATTGCTTGATGTCGTCGACATGGCGCAGGCGACGAAAGAGCGCGTTGGCAACCTGGCAACCTGGGCAGCGATCTTGCTTGCGTTTAGTTCCGCCGCATTCCACTCCGGAGCCCCCTACCCCCCCGCCTCCTTGTCCATTCTGTGTTGCCGCAAGGCCTTGTGCTTGTTGTGCTGGCTGCTGGGCCTGCCCCTGCTGCTGCTGTTGTGTGCAACTTCACTGGGTACGGGCGTAGGCGCGTGACCGCAGTGTATTGGCACACATATAGGTAAACTGTAGAGCAAGGCTTTCTCTGAGCTATCCCTGCCAACCATCCAACCAATACCGCGGACACTTCTGCAAGCTGCGACTGGAAAGGGGGCAATGAAGGCCGTGTTTGCGGGCAAAGCTCAACCAGGCGCGGTTGGAGCGGCGCGGCGCCTGCTGGCGAGCGGGCTCGCGATCGTGACGGTCAACTCGCCAGGGACGCACCACGCCCTGAAGGAAGCCGGTATTGCTCACCAAGATGTGAGAAGGAAGCCGGTGTCTGTGTTTTTGCCCATTCCCTTATGTATGCATGTTTGAAACCTGATTGAACTCTTGAACGTGTGCGTGGCGGATCCAAACATGCATGTGTCGCGGGGCTGGTGTGTGGTGACGCCTTCTCGTGAACAACTTTAGGGCGAAGAAGTGGGTTGAACGCGTGTTGACTCTTTGTTGATCACGTTCCTGTTCAAAGCCTGTTGGAGTTCCTGTCTTTCCGCCTCCAATTGCTGCATTGCTAAATCACGCTCTTGGTCGTCAGCAGGGGCTGCTTGCCGCCGGAGCCGACAGCACTGCCGGCGTGGCGGTAGTGGTGGGAGGGCTGGAAAGCACAGCGGATGTCGCCGGGGGCGACCCGAGCACTCATGCGCTCATAAGGTGACTGGAGGTTGTTTTCTGTGTGCTTCGATGGTTACGTCGCTGCCACTTAGGCCTGTCCTCCATCGGCCGTTTTGCTTGTATGGAGAATAAGAAGGTGGGATTACTTGAAATTAGTATAGAAATAAAGTTTGTGTATCTAAATCGAAAATAAAACGGCCGATGGAGGACAGGCCTGCTGCCACTCTAGTCAGTTAGACTTTGTATCCGATCCTGCTCGCATGTTTTTTAGTGGAATGGCCATTTAGTGGATCATTGGTTGGTGCTGATTGGCTATTTGTGTGCACTTGCGGCTCCCGCCAGAAAGCCTGGCCTACAGCAGCACTGGCGGTTGAACGCACAGGATCATTATTTTGTTTGGAACGCATCGCTCGTCCACAAGGAAAAGGAGCTAGTGAATGGCAGCGGGAGCATGTGTCTGCAGTTCAGTAGCGTTCGCGTGGCTGTCTTGTTTTTGTCTTCATATGAAAAACCGTTCCGATTTCTCTCTACCCACAGTACCTTCGAATGTCCGCACTGATCCAACCCTCGACGCGGTCGATTCCCGTGGTCGCCGGCTAACTTACCCTAAAAAGGTACACTCAAGGCCCCGAGGGGTCCGCAAGGCAATAGTAAGTCAATAGAAATCAACAACAGATATTCTGGAGTCCTCCGCTCCCTCTGCGCGCTATGCGAGGTAACAACTGAGACTAGGAGTCAGCATCACGGGCCAGAGAGAAAGAGGTACACCCCATTGGTTCAATCTTGGTACTTCACAACGCAAGCAGAGACAAAGGCCATCTGACACAGAAAAAGAGAGAAGAAGAGAAAAAATACAAGGAAACAGGAAGAAAAGACAAAAGAAAACGAAAAAGAGCGAGGACAAAAAGGGACCAGGCCGAAAATAACAAGAAAAAAGAGACACAGAAAAAGGCACACGGTGGAGAGACCACTAACGAACAAACAAACATGCAAATATGGCCACCAACCAGCGATACATTCATGGTCCGTCATCACTAGTGGGGGCTTGGTGCAATGGTGCAGCGTTGGGGGGGGGAATTGGCTAAAATAAATTCTATCTGGTGCGTATCGCGCCACCCTGTCCGTCTCTTCTCGTTTGCTTTCTTCCCTCGCGGTCTCCTCCGTCTCCTGTCTTGTTGGAAATTATTGAATATTCAAATTTCGCTAGCACCCACTGCACGAAGCATCTATGACGGCAGACCTAGCGTACGATATTTGCTGCATACCTCGCAAATGTGTTTTGAAGGATGTGGGGTCGGGCTCAATTCTGCATTATGCTGTTGTACCAACTTAACATTGGAGTTGCCGTCTTCTGTGGCTCTACACAGCAAGCAGCCGTAGCTACAGTTGTCGTTCAACTTCGCCCTCGACTTGCACACATCGGCGTAAAACAGGCCTCTCTATTCTGTAGCAAACAGCGCGTCTCAACCAAACGCCGTGTCCCCCCCATGCCTAGACCCTACCACACGAGCAAGCAGATACAGCAGTAGATAGATAAAAACACCGAGAGCGAGCACACCCGTTTCTCCCCCGTCCATACATGTAGGGCGGCAGCAGTCCAGCACGCGCGCATCGCCGTCGTGGTCGACCCGGAGGACCTCTCCAAGGTCGCAGGTGAGTCCCCCAGCGCCACGGACGGCCTCATGCTGTCCTCCCTCGGCCGCCGCTCTCTCGCCGCCAAGGCCCTGCGGGCCACGTCCGCGGCGGATAGCCGCATCGCTGAGTCGCTCCTGGCGGACGACACCGAAACGATTCCAGGGAGCGGCGGCGGAAGCGGCGGCGCCGTCGTCCTCGTCCTCGGCTCCGGCGGCCGCGAGCACGCCATCGCGCTCAAGCTGGCCGACTCCCCGCGGGTGTCGCACGTCTACGTGTCCCCCGGTAACGGGGGCACGGGAAGCGGCCGCCATGCGGGCATTTCCAACGCCGACATCCCCTCCTCTTCAAAGAGCGGCGACGGGCCCCACGCCGCCGTCGTGGAGTTCGCAAAGTCTAAGGGCGTGTCTCTGGTCGCCGTGGGGCCGGAGGTTCCCCTGGTGGACGGCGTCGCGGACGCGCTGGAGGCGGCCGGGGTGCCGTGCTTCGGCCCCAGCACGGCGGCGGCCAGGCTGGAGGCCTCCAAGGCCTACTCGAAGGACTTCATGGCGCGCAACGACCTGCGGACGGCGCGGTACGCGTGCTTCACCGACTTCGAGGCGGCTCGCAGCTACGTGATGGAGGCCGGGCACAGGGTGGTGGTGAAGGCGTCGGGGCTGGCGGCCGGGAAGGGGGTGCTGATGCCGGAGACGAAGGAGGAGGCCGTCGCGGCGCTGGAGGTGGTGATGGTGAAGAAGGAGTTCGGGGAGTCCGGCGCGGAGGTCGTGGTGGAGGAGTTCCTGGAAGGGGAGGAGGTGCGTGGGAGGAGAGAGGAGGCCAGTTTCCTCTCCTGGGTGGGACAGAGGCAGTGTCTGCTGATGCTGCTGCTGCTGCTGCTGCTGTTGTTGTGGTGATGGTGGTGGTGTTGCGGGAGGGGCGTCGTTCGAATGTCCCTGACTACGTGCTCCTGATCAATTGTTTTACGCGCCTGCTCATTGGGGTTGCTCCTGCTTTCCTCTGTGGTGCACTAGTTCCCGTGTAACAAGTACCAGAAACAGTATCTTCTACGTGGGACTGTGTTCGGCTGACCCGGTTGGTCGGTACGTTGATACCCTTGCTGCTGCTGCTGCTGCTACTGGTACCACAAACGTGCATCGTGGCCTATTTCGACCTAACCTCGCAGGTATCCATCCTGGCCTTCTGCGACGGGAAGACGGCGGTGTGCATGCCGGGGGCGCAGGACCACAAGCGGGCCCTCGACGGCGACGGCGGCCTGAACACCGGGGGGATGGGCGCCTACGCGCCCGCGCCCTGCCTCACCCCGCGCCTGGCGCGAGAGTGCGCGGACATCTGCCAGTCGACAGTCACCGCGATGGCGGCGGAAGGAAGCCCCTTCGTTGGGGTACTCTTCGCCGGCTTCATGCTCACCAAGGAGGGGCCGGTGGTGCTGGAGTTCAACGTCCGGATGGGCGACCCTGAGACGCAGGTCCATTTTGCCTGAAGGGGGGGTTGTGTAGGAGGGGGCGAGGTGGAGAGCTAGATGGCATGGGCAAAATTGTCGCGATGTGTATGTATGTCATGAGAGAAGGTTAATCAACCTTCCGGTGAGTGGGGAGGGAAGAGGCTATTGTTGACGACCGCCGGTGTTGCGAACCGTGTTTTTGGTAGAGCAATAAAACACCCATTAGATCGGACCTTGACGTACTCTGGTGCACACCAAGCAGTAGGAGCGTACGTCCATGGGTATTTTTATGACCTTGGGGGCACGTCTGTACAAAAACGCAACCCACAACGTCGGTAAAACATAATCAAACCACCAGACACCCGTCGTCGCCTACTTACCCCACCAAGCACGCACACGCTAATGTAAAAACGCAACCGCACACAGGCGCTGCTCCCCCTGATGGAGAGCGACCTGTACGAGGTGATGCTGGTGTGCACGGAGGGCCGCCTGGCCGAGACGCCCGTCGCCTTCACTCCGGGGGCGGCGGCGGCTACCGTCGTCCTCGCCGCCGACGGCTACCCGGGCAAGTACCCCAAGGGCATGCCCATCTCGGGCCTCGAGGACGCCGCCGCGATCCCGGGGGTCACCGTCTACCACGCCGGCACCAAGGCGGCGGCACCGGCACCGGCAACGGCGGCGGAGACGCAGCTGTCCGAGAGCGGTGGTGGCGGCGGCAGTGTCGTGTCTTCCGGCGGCCGGGTGCTCGCAGTTACCGGCACCGGCGCGAATTTCGCGGAGGCACTGGACGCGGCGTACCGCGGGGTCGGGGTGGTGAAGTTCTCGCCCTGCCACTACCGGAAGGACATCGGGCACCGCGCGAAGACGGCGCCGCTGAGGGTCGGGGTGCTGGCCTCGGGCAGGGGCACGGCGCTGCAAGCGGTGATCGACTCGTGCGCCACGGCGGCGGAGGACGGCGGCGTGAACGCCGTGGTGGTGCTCGTGGTGACCAATAAGAAGGAGGCCCCTGTGAGGGCCCGGGCGAAGAAGCACGGCATCCCCGAGATCTTCGTCGCCTCCAAGGTGATGAGCGGTATTGTTGTTTTGGCCGTCTCCTCTGTGGCCAGTGCGCGCCGGCCGCCTTGGGAGGTTTAGGTTGAGCAGTGACGAGGTTGTGCCCCAACTCTACTCTACCCTGCCCAATCTCCCTCTTTGAGGTCACACCCGTTCACCGTTGTTTTGATCGAGCAACCTTGCTGATTTTATTGTCGTGTGCTTTTTGCGTCGGAGAATGCCAGCGGAAGAGCGCCGCAAGCTCGCAAGGAATCTTGTCGAGGCAAAGTCTACTAGACGATAGACGATAGAACACGACAACGAGTCAACGCTCGTATGTATCAAATTCCGATAATCAAGTACCCTATTGTCTTGAGTCGCGCCCGCTGTTTACTAAGGTGCTCTCCAATCTGAAAATCACTGCCCCGCCGCCGCGCGGAGAAAAGTTTACCTCTCTCTGTCGGGTTTTCGCACTCGTTTTTCATCCAGCTACATCTACGCGCCATTTCACGTGTCCTTGGACAACTAACGGTGACATCGATAACTTCTTGACTTGGGTTCCTCTCCTCTCCGCCTTGGCGTGTGCATAATTTACGTACAACAATACACGGCAAACCCAACGACGATGCATTGCGGGACAACAACCAACTACTAGGGCCGAGAGCGCGCGGCATTCGATGAGGAGGTGACCAAGGCCCTCGAGGACGCAGGCGTGCAGCTGGTGCTCTGCGTCGGGTACATGCGGATCCTGTCGCCAGAGTTCTGCCGCCGGTGGGCCGGGCGGTGCCTGAACGTTCACCCTTCCCTCCTCCCGGACTTCGCCGGGGGCATGGACTTGCAGGTCATTGCCGCTGTTGATCCCTTCCTGAAAACTACACGGTCGGTAAAATGCTAGTTGTAGATGTCAACAGCGAAATGTCAACGTCGGGCGGCGTATTATCAATACTGATGATGCTTTGCCGTTCGTTGGCGTGTTTCGTGATCATGTTGTCGTTGTTGCTGAAAGCGACCTTCGTGTTTTGTCGCACCGTGTGTGTGCGTGTGTTTCTCTCTGTGTGGCAGGTCCACGAAGCGGTCATCGCCGCGGGCAAGACTCGCTCCGGCTGCACGGTGCACCAGGTGACGGAGGAGGTAGACTCGGGTCCCATCGTGGTGCAGGAGGAGGTGGAGGTGGTCGAGGGGGAAACGCCCGAGTCCCTCAAGGCTAAGGTGAGTCCTGGTGTGCTCGTCTGAAGAACGGGCGTCAAGGCGTGGGCAGGTTTTGGTTTTCTCTTGCGTCGCTACGGTAGATGGCCGTGGTTGCTAGCGAAGCGAACCTCGAAGAGCTGGAGGCCGGAAAACACGGGGTGTTTTCCAAGCGGAGGGTAGTGGGATGTTTTTGGTCTGTTAGCGCTGGGTGTAGCCATGGCTCGCTGAATTTCTTTTGCGCTGACATTTTATTACTCGTTTCGAGAGTCACGCAGTGATATGTTCGTGAATTGGGAGGCAGAGGCAGTGGTCCGGGAGGGGAAATCCCAACCCCCAAGGCTACCAGGTTGGTCAGTTGCATGCTTCTCATTATACCAGTTGAGTGCGCTCCCGGCCCCCCTTCTCCCTCTGTCGGTTCGCGATTGGTGGTCGGGATCCTGGGTGTTCGCCGACCCCCCCGCACCTATTGATTTTTTTTTTTGCTGCTTTGGTTGCTTTGTCCCCTATTTGCTTGCCTGCTTAGCTCCAGCTCTCTTTCAAGAGCACCGCCACACGCATTTTTATCCCGCTCACGAACGGTGCTTCATATGCAAAGGTCGTCGTTTCAGCGAAATAATCAAGTAAATTCACACCACGCAAACGCCAGGTGCAAGCCAAGGAGGGCCCGGCTTTCCTCAAGGCCATGGGCTTGTTCATGAAGGGGGGCGGCCGCGGAGGTACCCTTCCCCCTCCCCCCGGCGCCGCCGCCGCCCCGTCGAGCGGCATGAGCTACAAGGACGCCGGGGTCGACATCGACGCCGGCAACAGCCTGGTGGAGCGCATCAAGCCGGCGTGCAAGTCCACGAGGCGACCGGGTTGCGACAGCGACCTCGGGGGGTTCGGCGGCCTGTTCGACCTCGCCGCCGCCGGGTACGAGGGGAAGGACACCATCCTCGTCGGGGCGACCGATGGGGTCGGCACCAAGCTCAAGGTAGGCTACGTTATAGGAAGGGACGGATGGATGGACGGAGAGAGGGACTGGCTGTTTTTTGTTTTGTTGTTTCAAGGAAGGCGTGGGTGGATAGACAGGTCTCGCGAGTAGGTGTGGGCATTCACTCAGGTCGTGACAGGTACACACCCCTTGTGCCATGTACCCGAAGCGTATGATGCCTATGTACCCTCCAATCGCCGCCTGCGCGTAGACCGCGATGTACATTACAGTAGCCGACAGCGCTACTATCCCAAACGGTACGCTCTCGTGCGACCCCCCCTCCTTCTTGTCCCTTTCGGCACACGCGCGCGTTCCCAGGTCGCGCAGATAGCGGGAGACCACAGCGGGGTGGGCATCGACCTTGTGGCGATGTGCGTGAACGACCTGATCGTGGCGGGCGCGGAGCCGATGTTCTTCTTGGACTACTACGCCACCGGCAAGCTTTCGGTCTCCGAGGTATCTAGAAGTTTGTGTTTGATGTGCTATGTATGAGGATGACGCGTGATTTTCCATGTATTTTCATTTTTGTAAGCACACGCCATTTTGGTGCATTTTTTCTTGTTGGTGTTGAATATTTGTTGCCGTTTCCTTAAAACTTGTTGGCGTTTCCTGTCTCCACTTCTCGGGTGTCCAATGGCATCGGCATCCATGCGGTGACTCCCTCTGCTTGCGCTCTTCTGCTGTTTTATGGCCATCGAGTACCGATTCGTCTCTATTCTTGTATGCACGGTCTGGTCCTATACTTTTGGTGGAATCAAGACCTGGGACTCTGCCTCAGCCGCGCAAACCGAAAACAGAAAGTCGGCACGACCACGACCAGATCCACTCGGGCAAAATAAGCTAGCGAGGGTTGCGACTCTTTACACTGACTCTCGTAATTTTCTTCTTCCCTGCTCCTTCCTTCGTCTTCTTTCCTTTCTCTTGCGGGGTTCTCTCATCGTCTTGCCAAAATATATATCTGAACCATCCCCAACACACACACACACACGGCAAGGCGGCCACGGTGATCGAGGGCATCGCCGAGGGCTGCCGCCAGGCCAACTGCGGCCTCATCGGCGGCGAGACGGCCGAGATGCCCTCCATGTACCCCGCCGGAGAGTACGACCTTGCCGGCTTCAGCGTCGGCGCCGTCTCCCGCGGCAAGGTCCTCCCCCTCCAAGTCTCCCCCGGAGACGTGGTGCTCGGCCTGCCCTCCTCGGGCGTCCACAGCAACGGCTTCAGCCTGGTGCGCCGGATCGTTGAGGTGAAGGGGCTGTCCTACGGGGACCCGGCGCCGTTCAACGCCGCCGGGGGGCGGGGGGCGGGGGGCAAGGGGAAGACGCTGGCGGAGGAGCTGCTGGTGCCCACGCGCATCTACGTCCGGGCGCTGCTGCCGCTCCTGCGCGCGGGGCTGGCCAAGGCGCTCGCGCACATCACCGGGGGAGGCTTGTCGGAGAATATCCCGAGGGTGCTGGGGGCCGACGTGGCCGTGAGGCTGCGGGCGGGATCCACCGGCGGCGGCTGTTCCTCAGCAGCGTGGGACCTGCCGGAGATTTTCCAGTGGCTGAGCGCCGCGGGCGGGCTGACGCAAGAGGAGCTGCTCCGCACGCTGAACTGCGGGGTGGGCATGGTGGTGGTGGTGGCGCCGGAAGCGGCGGAGGAGGCGCGGCGCCTGCTGAGGGAGGCCGGCGAGGAGGTGGTGCTGGAGATGGGCGTCGTGGAGGAGAGGGCCGGGCCCGACGCGCCCCAGGTTGTTTACGAAGGCCGCCTGAAAGGGTTTTGATATCTTAAGGGGGTGGGGTCGCATCTAGCGCGGGGGTGACAAGAGAAGGTTGGCTGGGGGGGGGTATGTTACTGATGATTTTCATCATTGCTCTTCGTCTAGGCGCGGCTGGGGATAGGTAGATAACGGGGTGCGTATCAGTATCCTCCTTCACTTCTCCCTTCTTTCTTGCATGGCAGTTTGCGTCACATATTGAATCCAGACGTGTGCAGAAGGCGTACCCGTCAACAGCGCTTCCTCAACCTGTTTGGAAAGTGGCGTTTGGTCGCTGCTGTGCGTCTTTGTTGCATTTGATTGTTTTTCTGGGGGGGGTGCTCCTTTGTTGAAGTTGGAGAGGACTACGAGGAGGAGGGGAGTGGTTAGGCCCGTCCGTGACTAGCCGTCGGATACAGGCGGGGCGAAATGTGACGAGGGACGACAAAGCCAACCTCACTACATAGTGATTCTAGGGGTTGAGGGAGCCACCCTCGACCGAGTCACAGTGTGCGAGGGAATATTTTCTTAAACCAGCGGCCGCGCGAACTACTTACTTGTTTTCCTCCAGCACGTGTGGCGTATTCCACATGACAAACAGGTGAATTTCGCGGCGGCGGAAGCGAACGCGACGCGCATGTCTGGTTTTATAAGCTTGTTTTCTGCAACCGCTTGGTCCGCGGTCTGGCAGACAAGCCTGTTCCAACGGCTCGTGCCTTTGACGACGGTGCTTGGGGGTGTACCGCCGGGCTTATGTCCCCCTCTCTCTTCGCGTTGTATGGCTACATAGCTTCGCATGTAAACGACCATCGATCGATAATGGGTTGAGCTTGCTCGTCCCCTCCTCCTCTGGGTCCCTCCCACTAATCAACTACACATGGAAGGGCGTCTCGAACTCGAAAACACGACACCCCCCAAAAGCGAGCGCGGACGAAGGATCTGGAAAATCCCGCGGCTGCAACGTTTTGGGGCCCGTGGGTGGCAGCGTGGAGGCTTGCTTTGTAGTTGAAGCAACACAGGATTCGCTGTTTAACGGCGGTCGAATGTACACACCAAACAATACTACGACGGTGACGACAGCACGGTGTTTGTCGTGCTGTCACTAATAACACTACCGCCGCATGCATACGTTGACGAGAACCTGCTGCGGTGTGCCCCGCCACTCGCCGTCACGAGCAACCCTTGACGCTGGTGCGCGATGCTCAGCGAGTCTCCCAGCCCCCCCTGCTCGCTGGTGTGAGCCATGCACGATCGGTGGTGATCGGCACACCGGATCGACGTCGGGGCTATGTTTGGGATGACCAACCTCAAGTGCAGCACGTCTTGCGCGCGACCACTGGCAACACCTGCCTTTTGTAGCTCGTTGTCGGTCACCAAGGGCGGTGTGTCGCTGGGATGGCCTATCCTAGAGTAGTCCAGCTGGTGGCACGATACCGTGGGCCTCAGAGAGCAGGTAAGGTGGCGCAGCCGATAGGAGGTGGTGACATTTTTCGCGGCCGTCGCGCTACGGTTCTCTTGTTGTTGCCGTCGTTGTTGTTGCTGTGGCCTTTCGCACGGTGTGTCTGAAGGGGACACCTCTCCCTCGCTACCTTTCCCCGAAGAGGAGCGAGGCAGCGAGATGAGGGCGCAAGCATTGCGCTTCCGAAAGGTCTGCAAACGACGAAGGCGCCGGCATTCTTCGCCAAGTACTCGACTCTGCTGCTGCTTCTGCTGCTTCTGCTGCTGCTTCTGCTGCTGCTTCTGCTGCTGCTGTCCATTCCATCAAGGTAGAGTCATGTATTCTACGTCAGCGTTGTTGGACAGCGTAAAGGAGAAGTGCACTAAACGCGAGAGACTGAGAAAGGGCGAGGGTACGAAGAGCCACCCCAAAGCAGTTCATGATTTTCGAGTTCCTGAGGTATCCATCAGAGCTCATTCATGTAGGTATGTGGTTGTGATTTGCACCTTGATTGAGGACGAACAGCAGCGAACATACCACCATGGCTTTGTATACTAACCTACATGAATTATTTACTTCGGCCCTAGGCCGACTTTTCGAACTCCACACACCTGTACCTTCCCGAGGTGCTGCTCTTCATCGTTGTTAGCATGTGACGGAACCATTCCGTAGCTACTTCGTCGAGTGAGCGCATGGACCGTCCCGAGCCATGAACAGCGAATCGGGGATGAACACACGATCAGGAATGTGGTAAAGATCCAAGATCCAAGATCCAGAATCCGGGAGATCCAAGATCACAACAAGTACACCGCACGAGTGAACAGAATTTCAAAATTTGAAACCAAGAAAGTTCAGAAAGTTGAGAAAGTTGGAAAATCCAAAAAAAAAATGACTGATCTGAAGTCCACCTGATGTTTTTTTTTTTTGGTCTCCCGTCATTGGGCTCTGTCGTCTGCCCCTCTGGCCCCTATCCTCCACTTCTACTAGCTAGACGACCCAATCGGGGTCACACAGGAGGGGGGGGTTGGACCCCGCCCTCCTGCGGTTCCTGCCTGAGATATTTTTATGGCGAGAAGGGTACAGCAATCCCTTCCCTCGCGACTTACGAAGTCGATTTTGTTTACTTACAACGAGTGTTCCGTGCTGGTTCGGGTATATTGGTTCTGGAGAAAGCAAAGTAGGCGCACCACACCTACAGCAGAAACAACCCGTCCGATTCAATCTTTGAAGGGGGGATGTTTGCCGCGGCCGCAGGTATCGAATTTTTTGTTCTCGTGTTCTCGTCGAAGAACGAGCCGTTACATGTGCAGGAGCGACTCAGAGGAATGCCTGCCGAAGGTGTCAAAGAGCCCTGGTTTGAAATTTGGAAGTGGGTGCGCAATCAAGCGTACAGCGCGCCACACTTCGCCCATAGGCAAACACCTCGAGCGGTGGACAGCGCCAGCATCGATCTCCTCGATCCTTCCGCACACGAAATGCCGTCGGTTCCTCCCCTTCTCGAGCCTTCATCGCGTCCCTTGCAATCAACTCCACCAGGCCATCTTGGGCGGCCTGGTGGAGCTCACGCTGGCTCTTCTCTCCAGCGGGTCGATTGACATCGACCAAGGCACCCCGGGCGGCTGGACCCCTCTCATGTACGCCACCAACGAGGGCTGCGTACGCGTTGTTAGGATTCTCCTGGACAATGGGGCCAAGACCAACCTAGTTGCGGACGGTGGCTTCGATGCCTTGTCCAAGGCCGCCATAGGCGGACACCTGCGCCCCGGTGGTCTAGTGGGTAGCCTCGTAGCCTGCGAAGGGCCAGGTCATGGGTTCGAGTCCCGACAGAGTGAGTTTTTTCTCGCTAATTAAATTCTGGTCTCCGTTGGAAGCGACGCGTTGCAAAGCTCGTTGTTAGTAAACTTGATCGACTTCATAAGTCGCGAGGGAAGGGATTGCTGTACCCTTCTCGCGATTAAAATATCGCAGGCAGGAACCGTAGGAGGGGGTCCAACCCCCTCCTCCTATGTGACCCCGGTAGGGTCGTCTAGCTGGTAGAAGTGGAGGATAGGGGCCAGAGGGGCAAAGGACATAATCCAATGATGGGAGAAAATTAAACAACAAAAGCCTGGGCGTGGTCAAGGCGCTACTCGCGGCTGGCGCCAACTTCGAAGGCACCAGCAGCACCAGTTTAACCACGGCGCTCCACCTGGCTGTAGCCCACGGGCTCATGGAAGTGGTGAACGAGCTGACCGAGGCAGGCGCGAACCCTAATCCCCGCCGCCCACTGGACGGAGGGACGGCACTGGCCCTGGCATCGTCGGTAGGATCCGGGCATTGTCAAGCTTCTACGTGCGAAAGCGGACCCGTCATTGGCTAGAACGGATACGTCGGGAACAACCATCGTCCCGTTAGACGACGTGGCGAGGGGTGGGCACTCAGACGTGGTACGCGAGCTACTATGCAGGTTGGGATCAACCGTTGCTGTCGTTTACATGATGGCGGTAGGAATGTCCTCAGTCGGGCCGCGGCCTACCAGCATCTTGGCATCATGGCCATGCTTCTGGACGCCGTAGTAGTCGATACGGGGGAAGCCCTGATCTCCGCCTCCAGCCATGTCCACGAAGCATCAGTGAAAATCTTGTTGGAGAGGCAGCGTACGGTGAACACGATGGCTTTTGTGGACTATGCCAACGCCTGCGACTCATTGGGCATAATGCCCTTGTTCGAGAGCGTTCTTATTCACCATGACCGGTTGTACTCTCCCAGAATTGTGCGGTTATTCTTGAACGCCGTAGCGGATGCGACATCGGCCGTCCGGTCGACGCCACCGCCTGGGCGAATAACGTGTTATCCGGCAGATCAGATCATCATGTTTGACAGCAGTACCCTGGAGTTCACTACCAACGTTCTTCGTTACAAGATCGGCCCCGTACAGGGCACACACCCCCAGCTGCACCGGGTAGAGGCAATCCGCTGCTTGTTGCTTGTTGCTTCAAGTGGAGCCAGTTCATGCGGTGTCCTGGCTTTGGGCCAGCGCTGACCTCTCTACCACCCATGGTGCAAAGGTTGCGAGTAGTTCCGAGGCAACTCCGACGACTGGAACGCCGCTGGGGATGATGCTGCCAATCCTACGGCGGAGGGCTCACAGAGACACGGTGCTGTGTTGGCGGCTTTCACAAGGTGTGTGGAGACGTCGCGATCTTGGGCCTCTTGACGTGAGATATTTCATGGTGCTGTCGTTGATCCACCCTGCGCCTGCATGTCGAGGCGATGGTATTGCGACCATAACCTCGCTGTGTGCAGTGCTTGAGAAGCTGAGTATTTTGCGGCGTAACTCTTCAGAATGACACGTCAACGATAGTGTCTTGTTGTCACGCCTGTTACGGCCGCTCGACGAGTTCCTTTCCGTGGTATCCAAGATACGTACGTGTGGGTGGGTGGGGTCAGCAAACAAGCTGCTACGGTAGTACTCTCATTGTGGTTCGCCGAAGGACACCATTGTCTTTGCGCCAGCCCACGCTTCGCCTAGACTCTGTTGATTCGATCGTCTTGTTCGCATCCGCGTGCCCTTGCAGGAGGTACCCAAGGAAACTGTGACAGGGATTAAGTCTACATGGTGAGAGCGGCGATTCCGATGCCGTTTTGTGCGGAATATGGGGCACACGGTCTACAGTGAGAGATCAACTCGGTTGTAGTAGCGTTCAGCCTAGCTTATATAGCGGAAGGTGGTTCTTGAGTGAGCGACCTTTGTCCGCAATGTTTCTCGCCCTTTCGACTTCGGTACGAACTTGTGATGGGGCGCGTCGTTCTACGCACACGGTGCGAGTCACCTGCAGACAATCTCGCCGAATCACTGCTTGAGACTACTGCAAGTGTTTCTGTACGAGAGGTGTTTGGGGAGGGCTTTTTCGTGGGTGATACGTTGGTTGCGCGTGCTGGCCGAATCACAATGGTGGCTCTCCGCCTGCCTCGGCTCGAAAAGAGAGCAGCATTAGGAGACCTGCCTTGCAACCCCGCATGATTTTTTCCCCGTGAACAATCACACGTTCTTGTTCAAGGGTACTTGTGCAATAGCGCACGCCAGGATGGGGGTATGGTGAGACTGGATGCTACCAGTATGTGGTTTGATATCGGTGTCTATTCGTGTGGCATGTCACCGTCTATTTCTATGTATGGTGTTGTGGTCGTAGAGGTGGGGCAAAATAGCGATATACGCCTGAGTGTCAACCGAGCGCGGCTGAGAAATGTTTATGAAGTTGTAATTCATGCCTGATATCTATTCTGCGCGTAAAATCCATCGGTAGCAACTCGACGCATCAGGCGGGGGACACACCTTCGATTCCAAGGCCAAACCACCAAATCACAAGCCCGTATCACACGGTGTGCGTGTGACATCGCTCCAGCACTCGCATCGACGCCCACGGTCGACCCTACGGGCTACAAGCCACCGCCTACTATCGATGCCTTCTCCGGTCCCCCCCCTGCAGCGCCCCCTCCCACTCCCCCTGGGGCGAACCCGCGGCGGCGGCGCCAGCGAGCCCCTTGCCCTTTCGCCGGTCGACATCGAAAACCAGCCGCAGGTATCCTAGTAGCTCCACCCTGCCTTGCCTGGACTTGGCGCTGGTGGGGATGACCGGGGTGGTCTTGGGGAAGCCGTTCTTGTCGAGGGTTTGTCGCACCTCCTCCGTCACCCCCTTCAGCTGCGTGTAGCAAACAAGACCAAAAGGGGGAAGGGAAAGGTGTGAACGTATGTGTGTGCATAGGGCAGGGCGCATGTGGTTGTGGTTTGGCGGAAGCGGTGGGAGAGGGGGTCGAAATGATGTAGGACGAAAATCGATGGCGGAGGATGGCAGCACACATGGCATCTGATCATGTGCTCCGAAAATCACTCACATTCTCGCAGCATGGGTATTGGCCTTATTTCATTTTTCGCCCCACCTTCTGCGAGCTCCTGGGCCTACACCCTCCGGTATGATGATCGAGCGTATGTGCCGGGGTCACCGATGCACTGCGGATTTGCTGTTCAGCAGCGATGCTACTGCAGTAAGACACAACGCAATGATATCGCATCAGGAACTAAAAAACATCAGCATCGACGCCAAGTGGGGCGGCAGTACCTCTGGCCCTGTCTGTCTCCCACTCCCTCTCTCACCTTCTTGTCGTTCACCTTGTCGCACTTGGTAACCACCACCACGTAGCTGCTCCTCCCCTTATTCTCGTTCATCATGAGCGAGATCAGCTGCTCGTCCGCCTTCTGCAGGCCCGTCCTGCAATGTAAATGCGGCAGGCAGTGCACAGGGAAAAGGATGTAGCAATCAGGTCAAGGACAAGGCCATGAAAAGGCTTGGCGGTGAGAGGCTCTATCGATCTGCCGGTGGTAGGGGAGAGACGCCGCGGTTGTTTTTGCACTCCTTTCTACGGGTAATCTCTTGTGGCTCGACACGATACCTCTTCGAATCCCTCCCTTCAGCAGCACCTTGTGCAGTACAAGCCTCACCTGCCGTCAATGAGGTGAAACACCACGCGGAGGTTCTCCCTGACACCAAGGTAGCGCTGCAGCGTGCTCTTCCACGAGTCCATGCGGCCGTCGTCGGCCCTGGCGTAACCCAGACCAGGGACGTCGACGAGGAAAAAGGATGGCGATTTCCTCCTCCCCTTGTTCACAGCGTAGTAGTTGAAGTGCTGCAAATGGTTGGTGGGGAAAATCGTCCAACGGGGGCGGGGGGGGATGAGACGCATGCAGGCTTAAAACAAACTTTGCGTGAGAAGAGAATCTCTTCCGGTCTTCTGTCGCACAAGATAAAAAAACGGCGAGGGGACACCAGCGTCACGAACGGTACTAGACGTGGACAACCACCCCACGGGAAGTCTCGATTCTATCGCTGCCTCCCTTTACCTCTACACGTCCACGGTTAGCAACCCTTGCCCCGAAAACACACACACACACACACACACACACACACACACACACACACACACACACANTTAAACGTCATGGACTGCTCATGGATCAATTTCCACCCCGGCCAATAGGTTGGGATTTCGATAGTAGTACAAACGAAAACGATCATCATGATGGCGATGAGGGAAATTCGAGTGGCAACGATGAAGGAGGAGGAACAGAGGGAACAAATGGAGGACAAGACAGAGACCAAGACAGCAGTCGAGAAGGGAATCATGGCGTGGAAGAGAGCAAGAGCTTCGAGCCAGAGGACCTCCCGCACAACAAAAGACGGAGAGACAGACAAGAAGAAGAGCTGCCAAAAAGTTGCTGCCAAAATGACGATGAGAATAGTGATGGTAGTAGTGGTGAAAGCAAGAAGAATGATAGAGAGAGCACTCCTAAACGAAGTCGAGTGCAGGGTGACAGTCTTAGTAGAAACGTGCAGTTTTCTTCTGTTATTACTACGGTATCTGTCTTTAATCCTGAGAATAGCGTAGCTCCCCCTACGACGCTCGGTCCCGGGGTCCCAGATAGTGGACTATGGAAACATTTTGTGTTTCCCGCCGCACTGAGACTGACTTCTTTTCATTGGTCAGCCGGTTAGCGCGGTCGATGCTAATAATAAAAGCACACACACACACACACACACACACACACACACACACTGCGTAGACGTGTGCAGTTTCTTTCTGTTGCTAACGTTTCCGGAGAATAGGTTAGTCTCCTCCATGCCGCCCCTCCACGGGGTCCCAGTCAATTGCATTTAGAAGTGTTCTTGGTTTTCAACCGCACTGAGACTGAAGTCTTTTCATTGGTCAGCCGGCAAACGTGTTCGATCCTAATAATATAAAGACACGATTATCCGGCGAAACCCTGCAAATTCTTCACACACAATTTTTTGTTCAATAAAATACCCGCAGTTCTTCACCTACCTGAGTGAAACCAGGCACGGCTGAGGTTGGCGCTAGGGTCTTGCGGTTTACGAGCATGTTCACCAGGGAAGACTTGCCCACGTTGGAACGGCCCACAAACACCACCTCGGGCAGCGCTGCTTTTCCTGCAACGACAGCAAACGAGAGAATAAAAATGCGCAACAAAATCGAAACGAAGACGTCGGAGAAAGACAAGAAGAAACGTGCCACGTGCAACGAAATACGGAAGCAGCATTTCAATATGCAACTATTCGTCGCTTAGGCCTTAAACTCGACCGCAAGTCAAGACACGGCAACGCGCCAAGCCGGTACCACAAAATACACAGCACATACAGGACATTACCCCCCCCCCTCTCCTGCCCGGCCCCTCGAAACCAGACGGCGCGAACCATGCCGGCTTCAAAGGAAATCGACGGAGGGTGTTGAGAACACACGACCACACGCAACCCACCCCCCGCCTCCCCGTCCACCGCACCACACCTGGTACACACGCCGACCGCATCAACCTGCTTACCGCTGGGCAACGTCTTCATGGAGACCGCCCGGGTCTCAAACTCGACCTCCTTGATGGCGGCGTTGGTGGCGAACTCGAGCGTCTCGTGGTTGTTCTCCACGCCGAGCCTGGTCATGCCGTCCAGCACCTCGAACACATCCGACAGCCTGTCCGCCTTGCCCAGCCGCCGGATGAGCTGGTTGTATGCCCACACGGTAAGGGCGCCCGAGGGTGGCGGAGCCGATCGAGAAGAAGGCGCGGCGGCGGCGGCGGCGGCAGAAGAGGGGGCGAAGTCCCCATGCCGAAGAGCCCTGTCGAGGGTCTTTCTCAGCTGAGTCGTATAATAGTAGGGTTTAGGAGGCATTCCGGAGGGGGGGGGGGTCGTGGGAGTGTGAAAGGCAGCAGCGTGGCGGGGGGGGTAGGTGGCTGTTCTGTGGACCGGCGGGATATCGGGTGGCGCATCCGCGACAAAAATGAACCAACGTAGGTGGTGTTTTCGAACGCAAGGATTCCGGCTCGTGCGTCAATGTCAGCGGTGGCAGGCGGCCTCGGTGCAACTCAATCTAAATCTCACCCAGCCCGATTCAGTAGTAACAAAATGGTACCCAACACAACGAAGCCGTCCGTGTCTACCTAGACATCTGGCAATCGAAATCAACATGACATCGTAGGCAGAGACCTTCGCCCCGCCCCATGCCCTGCCTCCAATTAGAGAGAACCCCCAAGCTACTGTCTTCTACATACCGTATGCTATACAACATGGCATCCAAACCTCACCCCGGCCGCCGCTTCCTGGCTGCTCTCCTTCTGACCCCGCTCCAAGTAGAAGTCCAGCAGCTCTGGCAGCACCTCCCCTTCGGCCTCCAAAATCTTCTCCAGCTCCTCCGCTGCCTCGAGCGCCTCCCAGTCCTCCTCCTCCTCCTCCTCCTCCTCCTCCTCCTCCTCCGCCTCTTCTTCCACCTGTAGCTCTTCGTTTTGCTCTGGAATAGAGGATGAGTAGGGCTTGACGGCGGATTCGAGCATCTCCAAGGCGGACGTCTCGTCCCCGGCCCTCAGGCAGGCCACCGCTAGCCCCGCCGTCGTCATGCGGTCGTGGCTCTCGAGTTCACCGTCCTGTAGATAACTGCGCGAGTAGACGGACAAAGATTGATACAAGGAAAAACAACAATGGTCGTCTGTTTTTTTTGAGCTTTTCGTTTTCGTACTCGGCCTCGTCGTGTGCGGCATGGCGCAGGGGATGGAAGGGCCTTCAGTTCCAAAAAACAACGGGTATTAGCAGTATGAAGTGAGAGATCACAACCAGCACCGAAAAGCAAGTAATCAGCGGCAGCAGCAAGGAACACACAAAAATAAACGGGTGCAGCACGCGCGTAGTGCCTGCGTGAACAAGCTGCGGCGGTGTCGGAGCAGCGAGAGAGTCCTGCCCGCTAACCAAGCGGTCGCATGGATTGCCAGTCACAACCCGCAAAAGCGTTTCATTCTCTTGTTGAGGCTCTCACGTTTCTCTCATCTCGTTGACACGGAGGCTGAGGTCCAAGCGCCCCATCCTCGCGAGGGTCTTGAGCGCGAACGAGAAATACCTGTCGTCGCGGACTCC